GAGAGAGAGAGAGAGAGAGAGAGAGAGAGAGAGAGATGTGTGTGTGTGCGAGTCTGTTGTCATGGTTGCTATACAGAACCCCACAAAAGAAAGCATGACAACCCCACAAAAGGAAAGCATGACTGTACCATGCATGTGATATCATGTGTACCTGATCAATGAAGCTGTGGCCGCATACATGTCGGTATGATGTGGAAACACTAGTGTGTGGGTCAGGCAACTTAGGCAAGCCTTCTTCTGAACCTGGCTCAAATCCGCAATCAAATTAGGGTGCAAATGTGAAGCAAATGTGTATCACAGCGAGGCCCAACCCTGACAAGGGTTAGCTAGTGCAGAGGCGACAAAAATTGGGCATTGATTTTCAAAACACCCGTTATAAGCTTAGCCTTCACAGAAATCCCCAGTGCTAGTGCAATGAACAGGCTCATCACAGTGTCCATTGGGAAAAAACTGGATGCATACTGTGGGCTCTGCCTGCCGGTTTTGATGTACTACCATCTTAACCCGAAGAAAAAACGTATGTACATACGTTGTATTCTTAACCCCGAAAAAAAACGTACGGACGTTGTATTCTTAACCCGAAAAAAAAACGTACGTACGTTGTATTCTTAACCCGGAAAAAGAAAAAAACGTATGTACGTTGTATTCTTAACCCGAAAAAAACGTACGTATGTTGTATACGAATACAACGTACGGGGTACGTTGTATTCGAATACAACGTACGTACGTTGTATTCGAATACAAGGTATGTACGTTATATAACGAGTTTTAGGGTACAACTTTTCAGAAGCCTATAGTACCGCTTTTGTTTTTTTTTTTTTCATCTCAAAGCTCTGAAAAAATCAGGGAACAGAATGTCCCTGCCGATACATGTACGAGTTCGCCTTACTGAAATGTAATGGGCATAATCCACAGGAAACCAACATATATGTCTGTGTAGGATCCTCAGAGACTATGGGCCTCGCTGCACTACTCTTGAAATGCACAAAAGACAAAAATCTTGCGGCTGTATCTTTCCATGTTCTCGCGGAAGATTCACTCTCGTTTTGCACCTTTCAAGAGCAGTGCAGCGAGGCCCTATATGTGTGTGTAACCACTTCAGGCGGTTAGTGTAGTCGCCTTGAAACAAGTTGAAAGGTAGAGTCCGTGCTGTGTTTGATGCAGCAGAAATAAAGGTACAAGGGGCGTCTTTGCTTTGGATGGATGTCTGAGTGGGTGAAGGTATCAGTCTTGAAAACTGACATATTGCAAAATACCGGGGGTTTGAATCGCTCTCCATCCGCTCATGTATGTTAATTTACGGATAATGAATTCAGTATTGAAAATGATTATCGAGGAAACTCGAATTCGTTTTGTGGATTTTTATTTGTTTTGTTTTCACTTTATTCAAGTTTATTGACTTGTTATTGGTTCTCAGAAGAATTTGTTTTTTTATTAGCTAAAGTTGCTAAACCTTTTTTTTTTTTTTTTTTTCCCTTTGTACAACATTTTTTTTTCGGAATTTTCTGAATATTTAAAAAAAAGCAACATCGTAAAAATTCGAATACAATATACGCACGTTGTATTCGAATACAACGTACGTACGTTGTATTTGCCCGCATGTTCTATTTGGAAAAAAAAAGAGCGATTTTTAAAAGTCCGATTTCCACAGGTAATTTGAATAGAACGTATGTACATTTTTTTAGGGTTAAACCACGAGCACCTACCGGTTGTTCAGGACCGATCCTGATTTTCGCCTGCGCGCCGATTTTTGCCGAGCCTGCGGGGAGTGGGAAAAAATACGGGACATCTGCTGCTGCAACAGGTACCGCCCCTTATGCTGGACCTGCTGCCAGCAGATGGAACACAAACAGGCTGTCGTTTTCTTGTTTCCACTCACGCATTGAATGCTCCCGTGAAGAATCTTCTTCCAAAGAAAAAACGAAAACAAAAAAAAAAGGGGGAAACAGGAAACCAGCATCTGAGCGCGATTGCCCTAAGATTCATCCGACTTCGTGCAGAAGTGAAGCCAGATACATGATTCGAATTTGCAACGTTGCAGTCTCTCTGGGAGCTGAGGCAATGAAAGACCGGGAGCAAGTGCACAAACAGCCAACAATCTTTTTCCTCGTCTGTTTTCTTTTTTGTTTTTCCCCCCTCCTTCCTACCGCTGTTCGCGCGTTTCCACATTGCCACGACAAGGACATCTTGCAGTCCTTGTGGGAGGTTCCCATGGGGCCACCAGCTTCCTGCCCCATTGCCATGCCAAGCCTCTCACGACCCCCCTAAAGTTGCGGCGCGTTAACGGCCGCGACTTCGTTTTATAGCTGGGCGAGGTACTGGTGGTTTAAGAAGGTAGGGTTTTGGGCAAAGAAGCCCATTTTGAAAACGAGGCTTCAAACCGAACAACTGCTGGTTTGACGAAGCAGAAGTGGAGAGCTTGACGACTCGACGTCGTTGACGAGTTGACGGAGACTGGGAGTGAATGTAGACCCATTACAGTTCACGATTCCTTCCTTCCTTTTTTTTGTTTCCTTTTTTGTTCAAACATCCAGGAGGGGGCCTATTCGTGGAGGTGGCAGGCAGGGAGCAGCCTTCACGAAGAGGAAACCCTG